CATTTTGAAGAAAATTATAAGATAAGCCACCATTCAGAAAAAAAAAAAAAATTATTTGAAGGAGCTGTAGTATGTAATAGTCCCAGACCAGTTCTCTTCTCCTTATTAATTCGGACTACAAGTCATTCAGTAATGTTGTAAACAGTGCTCTCTACAGTCACACAGGCAAAAAACACTCTGAATTTAGCATGAGAATAAAGTCTACTGGAAGTGTCAGAGGTAGCACGTCAGTTTTAAAATTTACCCATGCAGTGTGACTCTGTTTTGCAACAGCTAAATTCAGTTATTCTGCTGTATACTGGAATGGCAAAAGTTATTCCCGTCATCAGTGTAGAGGAGTCTGGTAATACTTTTAAAAGTACCTACTGGAGTGGAACTGCTTTTCTGCTTCTCACTGCCTAACACAATTTAGATTCTTGGTACTCTGGCAACAGAAAACACTACATGCTTTCTGTTGCACAGGAGAGCAGATTCTAAGCAAGAAAATCTGGGTCAGTTCACAGATTTGTGTCTTTTTACGACAGTGAGACACAAGCTGTGACAACTAGCCGGCTTGAACCCTTGCATAACACAGGCTGTAGAATCTGATCTACCGATTTTATGAGACCCATGATTTCTCTCTGGATTACAGCACATATTTTTGAAAAATCTGGCAGTGATTAAAAAAGACCCCCAGGTGATGACAGCATCTACAATACCCTTAGGAGTTGTTTCAAAGATTCTACAGGTCATCAAATTCTTAAATGAAGGCAACATGAAGCAATCTAAAGTTCACAGTCCAAACCTGAAGTTTTCTACACTTGAAGAAACACTGGCTGGGGAACATTTTAAAATTTTTTTAACAATAAAATCTCTGAAGTGAGCAGGGCTGTAAGCCTGTTAAATGCTGTCGCTGTAAAGACATTTCAAAGGAAAATGCTGCTACATCAAACTCAACAATGCATAGCACAAAACACCTCCCTGAACTCACATATGGGCGGAAGAGTTGGCAGTTTCAGCTGGCAAAATTGGATATCTTAAATGAACATGAGTCAACCAATACAGCCATGAAGCCACATCTGCTCAACCTTGCATGAAGCCATCATCAAAGAGATTTTATTCCATTCAATCTCAATGAGTTAGCAAGAGTTAACATATGAAATTCTATGCAGAAAAGACCCAGGTGAAATGTTTGTCCTTGGCCTGTATACAGAATGCCAATACGAGTGTCTCTGCTGAGTTCATGATGAGGAAAGCCTCAGAAATGCCCAAACTTATGCTATGTACAGCAAATACTACCCTTGAAGACAGCACAAGCAGAGCTAAGAAAAATATTGTTTCAGATTTCATTCTGGTTCCTGACAATTTCTGCTGTATTCATGTGACAGGAGAAAAAAGTCTTGAAATTCAGTATGCTAAATGTTGTTCAAAAAACATAGAAGTAGTGGACTGTATATTTCACAATTTAAGAGAATAAGTTACATTTTTATTTCTGTGCTTTGAGTGCACAGTTCCAAAATGTGACCTCAGTTGTATCTGCAATCATTTTCTCAGGATATTTTCCTGATGTGCTGGATTAATCTCACTATGAAGTACAAGCATAGACATCTGGAGTCATTCCATTGCCTAAAGTAACTTATTCCAGAAGATAAAATATTTCATAAATACACACACCTGAATCAAAATCATAGTGGATCTTCAAGCATTTACATATTTTGAGTTTCCCAGTTTAAAAACTAAACCAGGAGTGAAAATTAACATAACTAAGAAATTTGAAGACTTTAGCTCAAAGGGTATAAATTTAAATTTTCTTTTCCAACAAGGCACAATCAGACCCAATACTGTACTACGCCAACAAATATACTGCCACCATCCACCAGAGACTTTGAATGTCTTCGCAGTGAAATGGATGAGCAAAACCAAGCTCTACCAACAGGCTTCACATTCTCTCAAGCCAGACTGTAAAAGCAGGAGATGGAAGAGGACATGGTAGTTTTTGGATGCCAGTTTTGCAGAAGTAGACGACTCATCCTCCAAACTTGGTTTAAATCAGATCTTTCCCAACAATCTGTGACCCCGTGGCCCTGCCCAGCCACTCTGGGGCTGTGTCTGACCCTGCTTTCCCTCATGGGGGCTGACCCTGACCCCTACCCATGGGGCCACATCCCAGCCCAACCTCAGCTCATCCCCAGGGAGGTGCCCGATGCCCAGGGCCGGGGCTGCCCTGGTGCTCTTAGGACACAGCCCTCCTCCACAATGCTGGCGTGGCTTCAGTGATATTAAAAGTGGCTACAGATGGCAGCCATCCACCTGGGAATACCGGAGCAGCAGTACTCCCAGAGGCAACGCTACAGGCAGACACGTTCCCGAGGACAGCTGGTGGCTTGGGTCTCTTAGAACAGAAGTGCTCCTGCTTTTTGGCCCAGCGTGTTCCCCAGTGCGGAGGAGGAGGCTTGCAGGCCACGTGGCCAGGCTGACCGTCTGCGCCCAGCACAGCGGCACGGCACGGCCACTGGAGGCCCAGTCGCGGGTGCGTGAGCTCATTGCGTGTACACCAAACCAGATCAAGGTAATGGATTTGGACACCCTGAATTCTACTTGCTTGATTTATTACTGACAGCTTTTGTTACCTAGGTCAGATTGATCTTTCTGCATCACTTCATCAGGCAGAAAAATATAGAAAAATAGAGGTTATCTTCTCCTACCTTTCTTCTCTGCCTTGTCTATCTGCACTGTTAAGTTCTCTAAGGCAGTGATTTCCCTTATGGCATGGCTCTTGTTTCATCTAATACTGAAGTCTCACTCTGATACTAACATTAATCATCTCTAGCTACCTCTCAGCTGCCACAGTGGAGGGGAATCACAGATATGAGGCGTGGCTGTGCTGTAGACATGACTTGGTTTTTTGAGGTACCCATCTATTCTTGGCCCAAAGTGTTCATGCAATGTGCGGTGTGGACTCCTTCCTTCCATGCCAGGAGATGGTAGCAAGAAGCATTCTCCACAACAGTTTACTCAGCCTTTAGAAACATGGGAGATCACGCATACCTGTGCCACCTAACATCATAGCAATGTGAGTAACGATGCCCCAGGCACTTAGGAGATGGGCTTAGCTGAGGCCAGAAGGTACCTATATTAACATCCTTAGTATGCTTTATTTTCATTGTACTTAGTTGTACACTTTATGATATAGATTCTTAGAATATGGTAACACAGGAACTTCAGCACTGGGAAGTATTAGATAATGTGACTGCACTTGTCCCTCAAATTGAAGTAATACCCTTGACGTGACACTTCATTAACTTCTCAGAAATTAATCTTGATGTCATTACTTAGCATTCAGCCAGTCTTTCCTCAGGCAAAATTAGCTGCAAAGTCAAATTCTAGTAGGAATGCTATATGAGTAAGATATATAAGGACTGCAAGATTTAGCCTGTTATCTGTAAAGATACAGGTGCCTTTTCTGATTTATTTTTATTTTAATCTCATTCACATTTGCAGAAATCAGTTGTTTTTTTCTGGAGTTTCAGAAGCCAGTTCAGTGTGACTGGAGAGGCATTTATTATCTATATGTCTGTGACATATTGTTTTAGACCTAGGTCTAAAATCTAAATATAACATTACAGATTTGAAAGTCATAGGTATAGATGACAGAGCCAGAAATATCAGTGACAGGAACGTATCTGAGAATACTGTTACACTAATCAGAATGAGAAGGTAAAGACAGAAAGGAAATTATATCCCCAAGGAAGTAGTGTGTTTTAAATAAAATGGATGTTAAAAGTATACCAAAGGCTCCATGATGGCATAATTGACAATGAAAGGGTAAAAAGGATGGTTTTGCCTCATGCTTTGAAGATGGAATAATAAACAAATGGATATATGTGATTTAACCCACAGTTTTCTTGAGTGCTTCATACCCTCAATGCTATGCTTGAGTCCACAGCTATAAGGTTCCTTTGAAAATCATCAGCTCTCCCATCACTCAGCCAATTTCAGTTGTCTTTTGTTACAAACTCAATGAACTGCACTTTTCCCACCATCTCTCTTTATCATCTCATTTCCCATGCCTGATTACATGACTGAATCTTGGTACATCATGTCTTTTCACATTTGCAATTGAGCCAAGGAAAACAGCTGTTACTGACCACACCTAAAAATCAGCCAAAGCATCCTCCAACATGTGGGTATATGAGGACACCTAACCAAAATAAACTGTTAACCAGACGACTCAAGGAAGCCATTACCACAGCCTTCCCAGGTATAGGGGTGACTGTGGATGTGCCTTTTACCCACTGCCCAGAACAGGCATCCTACTGACAGTATCAAAAATGTTCCATGAACTGTTTTATTGCAAAACAAAATCAAAACGTGTGACTGAAATTATTAAATTGAACTTGCATTGTGGCTACGTGAAGGTAGTCGGAAGAATGGGGTATATTAATCTAGTGAAGTTTCCCCGATACACCTTTTTTGCCCTAAAGAAATCAGAGTAGCACGGGGAACGATACGACACTAACTTAGCAGACGTTCATAAATCCATATAGAAAGTTATCACTACAGAACTGGTTTGGGATTCGGTGATCTGAGTCACTTCCAGATCCGTAGTCTGCAGGCATCGCCCATCACCTGAGCTTCACTCCCAACCCACCGGTGAGTAACGCGTGACTGCTGATGCGTCTGAATTTATGAAGAGCCGGTTCTGCGCACAAAAGCATTCAGTGCTTGCATCAGGTGATGAAAAAGACAGTGCCACTGAAGGCAACCGAACCTTGGGGGAGGGCAGGGCAGAGGTGTTATAAAATTCCTTGAATTTAGTGTGAGGGGGAGGCGACGGGGCGGGGGGGGGAATTAATTTTAACTCAAATCTCCGCAACAACCTTTTAACATTTGACAGGAGCAACATAGGCACCAACGGAAGTGCGTCACGCAGCCGTCAGAGCGACACGCATGCGCAGCGCTGCGGCTGCTGAGCGGCGGGGCTCCCCGGCGGGGGGGGCGGGGCGGCGCCCGGAAGCGGAAGCGGCAGCGGCGGCGGGAGGTGGAGGCGACGGTTCCGTTTGTGCGGGGCGGCGGGGGAGGTCGGTTCCGCCCCACCGGCAGCCGCGGTGCTGCGCTGCTCTGCTCTCCTCTCCTCCGGCCCCCTTCTCCGCTCCGCCATGGCGGGCAACACCAGCAACCTGCAGGTGGGGCGGGGCGGGGCGGGGCGGGGCTGTTGGGGGGCCGGGGGTGGGACAGGGAGCGCAAACCCCCGAGGGCGCGGCGGGGGGGGGACGCGGCCTGCGGCTCGGAAGCCGCCGAGGCCCCGGGTGAGCCGAACCCCCCGCTCAGCCGCGGCCTAGCGCCCGCCTGGGAGTCGCGGTCGCCTGTTGCGGCCCTTCTCCCGAGACCGCTGGCTGCGGGAGGCCTTTCCCCGCTCTGCTTTCCTGCCGGCCTTAGCCCTCCGTTGCGGCTGCCTGGCGGGTTCTGTTTCTGGTTGGCAAAACAGATCCGGAAAGGACCTGTGTCAAAAGTAGACGCGTTTCTCTTCAGCTGTTTTGAACCATGATCGTTTCCGTAAGCTCATGGCGGCCGTGGAGTGCTTGTACTGGCAAAGCTCGGGGAGGTGCCACAGGGCCTGGAATAAGCAGAAGGAGAACAAGACCTGTCTGAGCTGACACTCTTGGATGGTGATGTTCATCAAACTGTCGAACCGTAGCGTGACAAATACAGTTTGTGCCCTGTGGATAGTTGGCTGGTCATCTGTGCCCTAGTTCATACAATTTTCTAATAAATTATTTGCTGTTTGATAGCAGTGTTCTTCAGCACAGTAACAGATAGCAGTGTTCTTCAGCACAGTAACAGGCTAAGGTGCCAGCTGATGTAATGAAGTACTAGAGTTGAGAATCTAATACCCAAGTAGTAGTTTCTGGATATTTATAAAAACAGTGTATACCAAAACCAGACAGCACATGATGTAGAATTTTTTCTATTTCAGAGGATCAGGACTGCAACGTACCTCGTTTTTACACAGTTCCATTTTAGCAGGTGGTATTTGCCATTTATTCTTTGGATTTAGTGTCGCGTGTATCACTGTCTTTGTTGTATTGGATTCCGGAATCATTGGGCCGTTCTGTGGTAATTTAAATCGTGAATTAAGAACTTCAAATAGAAAGTAACTTCCTTTTCAGGTTAATTTTTGCTCTTTTGCTGGATTTGAGTGGCGCATAGAGTGGCCTAACAGAGCCCACACAGATGAGCAGCAAGGAGGGGACTGCCCATTCACATGTCATAAACTGCTTATTAGCTCTTGGTCTCCAAAAAGGAAAGACTAAGTTCTGTTCCAAAGAAACAGATGCTTACAGTGCTCCAACACTTGCAACAACGGAGCTGTAGAGTCTGTGTTATTGGATCATTGTTTTTAGATAAATTACTCTTTGATTTCAGATAGATCTGTTGAGATGATCTTTGCTTCCAAGACAGCAACACAAAGTAATAGAATGAGAGATTTTGCTGCTTACTCTCTCATGGCTACGGTTTACTAGCTTTGTTTTGCCTCAAATGCATCAGTGTCCAGATAATAGCAAGAGTATCTGTACTAAAATGTCTAGTGAAAACTCCCTGCTGCAGTTGAAGCTCCCCATAATCATCCTGAGTATGCTAAACAGTGCTTAGGAAAAGAAATTGACTGAATGTGGAAAAATACATATGGGGCTGTAGAAGATTTTGTTAACATTGGTTACCTCTGACTAACTGACTGCCTATTTTAAACTTATGTGAACTAGTCATTCAGACTGACAGTTTTAATTGTCTTGAAGTGGTATAGGCATTCCAAGGAGCAAAGTGTAATAAAAGATAATAAGTGCTCAAGAGCAAAGGAATAACGGTGATACCAACAAATCCACAGGCCAGTGTATGCAATACGACGGCTTAGATAACAGTCAGTTTTGTTTGAAACTAGCTCAACAAATAAAGATCCATCCGTAACTTTTCCTAGAACTTTTCTTGATGCTTGTGATTTGGGTGGTATTCTCTATCTGGTGGGTTATTCTTCTCCCCTCCCACTGGAGTGGTAATTAAAATTTCTCACTTGGATATCAAGAACCTAAATCCTTCTAGAGAAGCCAAACAAATAGTCAGTCTTTGAAGATGTCTCCCGACACAGGGTTGGAAGAGTGGTAATGCTTATTGCACTGTGTTAAAATCAGGTACTTCCTGTATAGACACTGTACTGATGGGGTTTACTGATGTCATCAGTCACAGTTCAGAGTGTCTGGGTCTGTGAATAAAAATAAACTTAGAATGGATTTCCAAATCTTTACATAATAAGTGCGGGAGATTGGTAAGGAAAACTGCATAGGCAAACCAGTAGTAGTTCCAACTCACTATACAGGAACTTACTCTTTTACTTTTGTGTGCTAGTAAATCTTAGCAGTTTGTTATTCACTGTTCAAAAAGGACAGAAATACTGTCAGGTACAAAGCACCAGCTAAGACTTGCAATTGACTGCCTTCAACTTTTTCAGGTAAATGTTGAAGAGCATTAAAACTGGCCATCCAAGAATAGTCAGAGCAACAAAATGTCTCTTTGGTCATGCAGAATGCTCTCGTGCATCACTTAATTGTTTGCTTGTGTTACAGAAAGCAATAGACATTGCTAACAAGGCAGCGCAGGAAGATAAAGCAGGAAACTATGAGGAAGCCTTCCGCTTGTACCAACACGCTGTGCAGTATTTTCTCCATGTTGTTAAATGTAAGTGTAATGTCTTAGATGATTAAGTACGTTTAGCAGTCAAATTGCACAGAGTAATCTCTTAGGTTGACATCATTATTTAAATTTTTACTTTCATCATTAGTTGACACTTGCTAATTGTAGTGTGACTGAAGTCATACATTTTGCAGCTTTTGCCTTTCCCATGTTGTGTGCTTGCTCTATTCTCGTAAGAAATCAGATTGTTTTGTTTTAGGGGTTTTTAAGACAAGGAGGCAGGGACTTGCTGTCAGACTCTGCTCTGGACTTCTGTAGCAATGTTTCAGGCTGGCCACGGCACAAGGAAATGTGACAGTAAGCACAGGGATCCCTGTATGGCTGTTGTGCTGAAAACCACGTGTTACACAAGAAGTCTCTGCTGCATCCACAGAGCATTTTTTGCTCCTTAACTCATGCCGCTTGCCTTTTTGCAACCTCTCTGCTGGCATTTTTTGCTCTTTAATGTCATAGTCTTGGTCATCTTAGCCAACAAAATGTATGAGGTGGATTTGTATGTTGTAATTTTTCTTCAGTTTCCATATGCTCATTATTTTATGCCTTTTTGTACTTCTCTGTACCTTTTGTGTCACGTCCATTGTTTGTATGCAAGGAGTGGGCTTTTTTAATGTAGATGCAGCCCTAATCTAAGTGGGCTAGGGTTGCTCACCTGACATAAGTACACTTATAGATCTCCATGATTTGAAAAAAATACTATTTTCTTTATAGTCATGTAGGATAATTCGTGTTTATCACTTCCTATCCATTTATATCCTACAGCCTTTATCAGGATATCACTCTTCTGTGCTTTTAACAATACTGATGTACTTTTGGAAACTTAAAATGTTAAATTTTGATTGCTGAATTGAAATACTGTAATAGTGACTAAGAGAGTAGTGTGGCTGTTGAACCACACCAAACTTTTAGATGCTTTATGTATTTTTTTTCTTTATGATGTGAACATCTTTCAGAATCAGCAGGCTATGGAAACATACAGTGCTAAGCAGTTTTTATTTAGAAGCATAAAAGCATTTTCTTGCTGAGCTATTTTAGAAAAGGAGTTAAGACAATGTATAGTAACTTGAAAGGCTGATAGAAGAGCTTCCAGTGCCATAGTCCTTCATGTTTTACAGGCAAATTTTAAGCTAAAGCAATCTTTCAGCTGTATATTGGATTGCTGGTAGACAATGACATCCTTCCTGTCACTTTCTTCCATGGTATAGTAGAAAAATAAGTAGTTGGGGTGTTTGGTTATGTGGTGAGCCCTGAGAGGGGTATATTGATAAGATACGAAGAAGACATTTAGTCTTGTTTTCTCCTTGATGCACATGTGTTTTGCTGTTAACAAAGCATTGTTTCTCTTCAAACTCTTAGATGAAGCACAGGGTGATAAAGCAAAACAGAGCATTAGAACGAAATGTACAGAATACTTGGACAGAGCAGAAAAGCTGAAAGAATATCTGAAAAAGAAAGAAAAAACTTCACCAAAACCAGTTAAAGAGTCTGGTCCTACTGATGGAAAAGGGTATGTTTTTGGAGAAGGTAAAGCAAAATACTTCCTGAACTCAGCTTATTCTAAAATTAAATTCTTCGAAGATCATTTTAACTAGTGTTTTTGAAATGCTTCAGATGACTACTAATGCTGAAATACAGTGGGCTAATGAAAGAAAAATAACATGAATTAGCAGCACAGGCATTTCTGTGCTTGTTTATTAAAGCGTGTGAACATTTGTGTAGGAAATTCACTGAAGAATGAAAACTGTTTCAGACTAACACATGCTTATCTCATTTAATGGCAGTGAGCCCGATGACCCTTAAAATGTTTCTGTATTTAAATACTTACTAGAATATAAATTCAGACTGATGATTACTGTGGCCTAAGTTTGATCTGCCTCACACTAGATAAGAGGTGCAAAGCTCTGTGCAGGGTGAAGTTCTGTAAGGTGAATCATTCTAATGCCTTGCTGCTGCCTAGCCTCTCCACTGCTTTCCTTTTATTAGATTTGCTTTTCATTTAGCGTATCAGAGAGCTGAACAAGCAGAGCCACCTGAACAAGTAGAGCCTCTTTTGCATTTGCTGCTGCCTTCATGAGGATAGGAGAGAGGAAGTGTTCAAGATGATACCTTCTGGTGGGATTGCCCTTTTTAGCAGTCCTGAACAGCTAGGGTTTGCTCAGTTGTCTCTCGAAACTTCACCTGATTTTCAGTCTCCTTCATTGTCTACTTGTCTCATCAGTGTTATTTTTTGAGCTGTACTGTGTTCTGCTGGCTTAAAATAGAAGGAAGTGGTAATATCATAGAGGCTTATGTGTATTTTCATGACCTCTACTCTGATTGTTCTTTATCTAGTCTTTTCTTTAACTTCTAGTTTCCTTTGCTCTAAGAAGACGAGGATGTAGAGTTTCATAGTACTAGATGGAAATGACCAAATCCTGTTGCATTCCAGATAGAGGACAGGTGCCAGTGTCTAAAAATAAACTATTTTATCATTTCCATGTTGCTCAATACAGGGGCTTTTGTTTCCTAAAGGCTGGCTCAAACCATGTAGAAGTGTATTAAGAGGGCTCAGACCCATAAGAGGAAGTTGCAATGGTGAGGAGGGTGGATTAGAAAGAACATGGTGTAGAAAAGCAGGAGTACACTGATGTAAACTTGTAGAGATCTGAAAGCGTCTCAGAGTTTCTTTCATTCCTCAGACTAGCGGGTTTACTGCTTTTTGCATTCAGATTTTTATCTTAAGACAGCAGGCTCTTTTATTGTATTTCATCACTTTTTCTTGTTTCCAAATCAGGAATGACAGTGATGGAGAAGGGGAGTCAGAGGATCCTGAAAAAAAGAAGCTACAGAATCAACTTCAAGGTAATTTTGAAGCATCCTTTTCTTTAAATGGGGGTGGCTTCAGTCAAGCAAATCCCTATATTTTTGCCACCTAAATGGTATGGATTAATTTACTGTCTGTAGGTGGATCAACTAGTATGTACTCTTCACATACAAAAGCATAGTCTTTATGGAAGTATGGGTTTCTGTGCCATGAAATTATACAGTGACTATGTTGAAATGTATCTCCTGTACCCTGTGCTTCATGTTAAAATTGTACCATTTATCAGGATAGCATTTTCCAACAGGGCGAGTTGCAAGATCCCAGGTAGCTGTTGGCTAAGCTGAATCAGCATTTTTTACTCTTAGGTTCATTAGAGTATTGCCTAGAGGCCAAGGTAACAGTCATCATACAAACACTTAGTGTAAGTAGGACCATTTTCATAAAAATTCTTGTGTTCAAGTTCAGGAGTTGAGAAAATGGATTCTTGCCTGTTTATAGTAACAGGCAGCATTTTCTCATATGCTGTGATGATGCTTTCCCACTTGAGTAGCATAATAATTTGGGGTTTTGAACTCAAATGCCAAATACAGTCAGTGACGCAATGTATAGCAGCTACCAGTAGTTTTGTACATAGTAAAAAAGAGGCTTTTTTTGATATTTATTACCCTTTAATGGTGAAGAACTGCGTGGAGCTTCCTTGCCAGAAGGTGCTTATGGACCTGAAGAAACTTCATTGTTCTCTCCCTATTTTTCAGCATAACAAAGATCAAATGTATTTACCTCTCTGCCTGTAGGATTTCAGGAGCTATTGTATCATATTTGGAAACTGTGCCATGCTTTTTCTACTTCTCTGTGCATTTATTTAATCCAATGCACAGTTATATGGGACAGTTTCCTGTATTTTAAAATGACAGAAAAATGTTGAGCACTGGACTCTTATCCTGTCTCTCACTATAAAGACTTTGTTTCTTTCCACATGAATCTGACCTTCAGCTCTTACTTCAAGAAATAGTTTCTTGCACCCACCACTTCTTTGATACTTTCTATAAAATTATAATGTTCTTGCTGATACATTTAATTGATGGAAAGTCTGAGGTGTGAGATCCTTGATACCTTTCATCTTAACACAGGAGTCTCTTACTCAGATAGTTCAAGCTCTGGGCAGCCTTCAGATCACTCCTTTTCATTTTGCTTCCCACAACAGTCACAGAAATTTCCTGTATTTAATTTTGCTACCTTGTTACTCCCAGCTGACTGTGCCTTATGGAACTTTTCCCACGTTGGTGGGTATTTATCAAGATTTTCCTTATAATAGCACTGTGGCTTACTTTGGGAGAAGTGATCAGTAGCATTCAGACTGGATAGTAGTTGTGGGTCTATTGTCATGTACTTTTGTTTAGAATTTTAAAGGCATTTTGCACTCTATTGCTTAATCTTCCAGCTACTAATGTACACCTACAAAATTAGGAATCCCGTGATTCCAGTTCCATTTGTGTCCTGGTACAGGTAATCTCTTACAGTGCAGTGATTTCAGTAACCATGGTATGTCTGCTGCAGATAATTCTGATAATTCAACTTCGAAATAATCTCCTCTTCCTATCTGAACTGTTACCTGTTCTGTGAATTATTTTAGTGATGAAGCCCATAGTTGTGTTTAAGAAAAACTGAGATGTAATCAACCTAGCAAAAGAATTTAATGCCTTGGAAGTGGGTGGCTGAATTAGTTCTAGTATATAGATTGCAAGCTATGACAGTTTTCGATCAACTTTATAACTTTTTTAATATCTTTAACAATACAGTGGACTCTAAATTCCAAACTGTTAACAATTGCACTTGCTAACAGAAATTGTTCATTTCAATCTGATAGAAGAGGAATGCAGCAAAAGAAAAAAATCTCAACGGAGATACTTAAAAAGTAATCAAGTGTTGTTTGCTTTATTCATTAATCAGCGAGTAACAGTAAATTTTCAATCATGTAGAAGAAAAAAGCCTTAAATTACTTCACAGAGGTCTGAAGGCATAAAGTGAAAATGTCAGGAAAATAGCTGGTGAAAGCCATTTGTGAAATTATAGAAAGCCCATTGTAGAGAAACAGGGCAACCAAAACTTCTGTGTGTTTTAGTACTTAGATAAGCATGGACTTGGTTGGCATGTGTTCATCTGAGAAAATTTCTCTGACTTTTTGGATTTGCCTTGGCTAGGATTACAAGATCTAATATTTGATTACTAGCTCAGATCCAAGTTGTCCCATCTAAAAGTGGTTCAGACAAAATCATTTTTGGCATGTCAGACTAACCAGTCTGAAGAGAAGGCTAAATTACAGCTCAATTGGCTAAAATCAAGCTGAACTTGTTGACTTGTCGACTGAGCAAGATGAGACTTGGTGATAAACTTTGAGAGAACATGGCTAGACGAAAAAGATACTACTTCTGCAATTAAGCAGTCTCCACATAACCTTCCTGATGCCTTCAGCCTTAGCTCTCAAAGTTCTTTACCATTAGATGATCTGACTGTTTGCTGCACGTCTGGAGATTCCCAACAAATTGCTTCATCTGCTGGAGAATCTTAGAAATCCTGGGCTAGTGCAGCTACATTGCTTCCCTTGTTTAAACTGAAATTTCAAATTTTTCAGGAAGTACAGTGGTGGGTTTAGTGAGGAGATGGTGCCTGTGTACCTATTAGAGAAGGTACTCCTCTGTGACTACTAAATGCACATTTGCTGCTCAGTTATGGCGTAGATTTGACCATTTCAGGACTTTTACTAACTCTGGAATATTCTGATTATCCACAGTTCATTGTGGTAAATCAGTGTAACAGATTTCTGTAGAAATAACATCTGACTAACAGTATTCAGCGTTTACCTTCACTTAGAAACACTTTGCTTTTATTCTGTACGGACATGGGCATAGATTTCTTAATATTTTTTTTTTTCCAAAATGGAATTTATTGAAGTTGTGAGAAGATAGGTGTGTCACTAATTTATACAATCTTTTCTTATAGGAGCAATTGTTATAGAGCGACCAAATGTCAAATGGAGTGATGTTGCTGGCCTCGAAGGTGCCAAAGAAGCACTTAAAGAAGCAGTGATCTTGCCCATTAAATTTCCACACCTGTTTACAGGTCAGAATTACAGCCTTTATTTGCTATTGGCAACTCAGGACCAGCACTGGGGTCTGAGTGTTATGCCAATGCATCAGAGACTCAAGATGAGCTCTTAACAAAGAGATTGTGATCCATCTGAGAGAATTTTCATGGGTTGATGTTGAAAATTCCTGAGTAAATTAGAGGGGCTTCATCAGAAAAAGGGATTCAGTCTTTCTACAGTATTTTGAAGGCTGCTGGTTTCTCTCTTGCAGGAAAGAGAACACCTTGGAGAGGGATTCTCCTGTTTGGACCACCAGGAACAGGGAAGTCTTACTTAGCAAAAGCTGTGGCGACAGAAGCCAACAACTCTACCTTCTTCTCAGTATCTTCCTCTGACCTTGTCTCAAAGTGGTTAGGTGAAAGTGAAAAGTAAGTTGGAGTTGCCAGAGGTCCAGGAAAACAGTGGCAAGAAGGAATTAATGTAGAGCTAGATAAGTTGCTGTAAAGAAATTTAATTTGAGGGAAGAGTCGTGTCTTTTTAAAAACAAAATTCAGGTGTTTCTATGCTTCACGCTGCGGTGCTGTGTAAGGATACCATCATCTGCTGCATTTTGTGCTGCTGCAGCTGGACTTCTCTTCAGTGCTTAAGGTAGTTTTAAAAGGTAGTTCAGGAAGGTTTCAGGACATCACAGAGCTCATTCCCCTCTGAACTCAGCTGTGATTGCACACCACATCAGTCTGAAGTGTTGGGGTGCTCTGCCTCTTGGCATCTCTGCAGTCATCTGCCCCAGCAGCTGTGCTGTTAACACATGGCATTTCTTTGTCCATACAGAGGTGTTTTTTCTTCATCCTGATTTCAAACAAAATCTGAAAGACGTAAGAGACTTGGAAAAATAGGTTGAAGGAGAGGAGCAGCTATGAAAGAAAACATCATGGTTCCCTATGCCAACTCCTTGTTACTGTGTGATATGTGAAGACCAGGAAGCCTGAAGTGACATGTTAGCTGCCGTCTAGAAGTGCAGGAGTTTGTCCATCTAGGCTTCCAATTAAGATTTCCTGAATTAAGAAAAACTTCTGAGTTTGTACAGAAAGGACTTTCATATGTTGATAAGAATACTTGTCAAAACCATTCTTTAATAGTTTGAAGTGTGGGACAACCGAGCAAAGTTGATAGGATGAGGAAAAAAGGCTGTTAGATTAAGTGTTTGAATGGGGGGGGGGGGGGGGGGGGGGGGCGGGGTTTCCCAAAAAGCTTGAAACCTTAAGCTGCTTTTCTGCTGCAAAAGGAATACAGAACTGGAGTCCAGTTTGGCTGGAGTCCAGTTTTTTTTTCTGTTTGACTTCATTTGAGACTATTGCCTGAGATTTAGTGCTGGTAATGTGAAGAATTTCCCAGCATTTCCTGTTTATTCTCCTTTTTAATTTAGTGAAATGTGTTAATAAGATATGGCTATGTTTTTTTTTTATTATTATTTTTTTGGCAAGTCAACATCTCGTCATATAAAAAGTATGTAGTAACGTTGTACAAAGTAAATGTATGTGTTATTTCTTACAAAATAGTCTGATTAGGTTACAAATGTTAAATAAGATAAAGCCGTGTTCTTTTGAATCTGTCTAGAGTGGTGGTTTTGTATAGTCTGGGCTGTCCTGTAGAAATGTAAACCGAAAAAGGGCTTTTTCTTGCAAAATGTTTCACATCCCTTTATACTTAATAAGGGATATGTCACTCAGCATGGTGCTGAATCTTGGAGCTGGAAGAATGTTGTATCTTTGAGTAGCTTTATGTTAATAGTTTCTTTTCTACCTTTCTCTAAAGGAAGTGACTGTATCATAATCTTAAGTTATGTGTTTTTACCGGTGTAATCATTAAGATAATTGAAGGTGTTTCCTTTTTTAAGATTAGTGAAAAACTTGTTCCAGCTTGCCAGAGAAAACAAACCTTCTATTATCTTCATTGATGAGATAGATTCCCTCTGCGGGTCAAGAAGTGAAAATGAAAGTGAGGCTGCTAGACGAATAAAAACAGAATTTCTAGTCCAGATGCAAGGTAAGTTTACTTGGTTTTCAGAATCGGTCAGAGGAATTAAGATACATATTTTAAGCACAGTGTGCATGAAAACACTGAGATGATCTGCAGTTCCACCCCATTGAATTTTGACAACATTTTAAAATAGTCTCTGTTTATCATCTAAATGGTTAAATGATTTCTGCCCTGGTATAGGGGTTGGTGTTGACAATGAAGGAATCTTGGTCTTAGGAGCAACAAACATACCCTGGGTTTTGGATTCTGCTATCAGGAGAAGGTATGATGGCATTTTTTTCATGGTATGAAATTTGTAACTGTTGTTAGGGTTCCGTCTGAGATTACTTGAGGCAGTAATCCAGCTCATGTTTGCAGACATGACTAATGTCTTACAACTCAGTTTCATGATATGGACTGAGCCAAACTAATAGCCCCTTGCCCCTTTAAAGGGGTAGGTGGCTCACTCTTATATTGGCCCCATAGTTTATTTGATTTCTTGGTTAAATGATTGTGCTTCATCAAGCAGAAAACTATTCTGTTTCCTTGTTGCTTGTTTTTTTGGTGGGCTTGGGGGACAAGCTACAAAATATGTACCTCGGAAGGGCAAGAGGAGGTAGAGCTTTCATTTTCATTTGTTAACAGATTTGAGTAGCTTGAGTTCTTTCAAGGAAATGTAGCCTTATGTTACACTATTGGTCAGGCATAATTTGTGATCTTTCAGTGCATGTTTTAACTGCTGTTTTGTAGATAAAAGGCTTGCATTCCTGTATCTGATTAGCTGGATCTTTGAACCGCAGAGCAGCAGAGGACAAAGACAGCTGTGACAAATATGATTATGTTGTGGTGAGGACACAGCTTGGATAACGGTCACTTTTGTAGGCTAAAGAAACACTACATTTTTGTGACTGTCACTGACTTGAATTCAAGGTGGCCATACTTTGATTGGAGGTTGGACCAGGTGACCTCCAGAGGTTGCTTCCAACATGTATGACTATCGTTTTGTGTGAGAGAGATTTAGAGGTAAATGTGTTGCTTAAAATTTCAAGTAATTCTTGAAATTCCAGCTCTGGGGTCCGTAGTACCAGACAGACATGGATGTGTTGGAGCGAGTCCAGAGGAGGGTGACAAAAATGATCAGAGGGCTGGAACATCTCTGCTGTGGAGAAGGGCTGAGAGAGTTGGAGTTGTTCATCCTGCAGAAGAGAAAGCTCCAGGGAGACCTTATTGCAGTCTGTCAATGTGTAGAGTGGGCTTATAAGAAAGACTGAGAAATGTTTGTGGTTTTTTACCAAGGCCTGTAGTGACACGACAAGGGGTAATGATTTTAAAATGAAAGAGGGTAGGTTTAGATTGGACATAAGGAAGACTTTTTTTTTATGGTGAGAGTGGTGAGGCGCTGGCCCAGGGTGCCCAGAGCAGCTGTGACTGCCCCCTCCCTGGGAGGGTTCAAGGCCAGGCTGGACGGGGCTGGGAGCACCCTGGTCTAGCGGGAGGTGTCGAACAAGGTGACCTTTAAGGGTCTCTCCCAACCCAAACCATTCTGTGATTCTCTGCATGTGAAAGAGTAGCTCTCTAACTCTTGTCCGTAAGACTTAAAGAAACTTGTACAGCAATGGGAGTAATTAATTTTTCATGGATTTGGCTCACTTTGACATGTATATCAAGTTAATTGCATTCTACAGAATTTGGAGTCACTGGTGGGAGGTAATCCCCACTGTGAGAACAGATGCTGCTTCAAAGGAAGAACTGCAGTTACCAACATTTTTTACTGACAACTGTATCGAGAATATGACTTCAAATTTGCTTCCAACTATGAGGTTTTCTTTAATTTAGTTGGAGACTGTAGAAAGTAGTTGTGTCAGCTTATCAGGCGCTTCTTTCTGTGTGAAAACTGTTCAAATACACTTCAACACTTAAAGACTTTTTCCCCCTCAATATTTTCTTTTAAAACACAAACTGATGGAGAGAATCTGGAAAAAACCCAGTCTGAAGACATGATCTTTGTCATGAAAGGGAAGTAGTTGTTATATTCTGGATGTTAGCTTATGTTACCTACAGTATTATTTATGACAACAGGTTGTAGAATATCTGCCTTAGTTTTTTTTTTTTTTTTAAAAAGGTTTATAATACTGAAACCGCTTCTTTCTAGTGTTGTTAGGAACAAACTATATACTTATTTGCATAAGCTTATTTCCACTGTGCACCTGCATGAGCTACCATCTGTGGAACATTTTGTTTTTTCTTTTTTAAACCAGGTTTGAGAAGCGTATTTATATTCCTTTACCTGAAGACCATGCCAGGGCTGCAATGTTCAAACTTCATCTTGGGTCAACTCCAAATGTCCTAACAGAATCAGATTATAGAGAGCTTGGAAAGAAAACTGATGGCTATTCTGGGGCAGATATAAGCATCATTGTACGAGATGCACTGATGCAGCCTGTTAGAAAAGTGCAATCAGCTACTCACTTCAAAAAAGTAAGTAGGAATCAACAATTTGTTGAGTTTTTTAATCCGAGAACTAGCTTAATTTGAAAATTCCTTGCAAGTAAACCAAATTTGGTTTGGGGTAATACTGCACACTTACGAATGTTCTTTTTATTGACTGGGGAGAACCTGTGTGTATTTTTTTTTTTTAACTTCTGCTTTTCCCCTTCCCCCAACACTGCCCCCACACCACACCCACCACCACCACCCCCCCCCAAAAGTCCTGCCCTAAGTCTGATGGAGCTAGTTTCTGGGTGTTCATGCTGTGTAATCCAAGCTCTGATGACTCTTCATGTCTCTAGGTAGTGTTAAAAGCATTCAGTTTGAAGTTTGACTTAAATGTGAGTGTTACAGAGGTGCTCTTTTTCTGGATCAAGTTACATGGTCCATGTTTTTCTACCATGTTTAAACAAAGGTATCCCTCATCCACAGGGGAGCAGATGGATTATAATTATGCACATTCCGCGTGGATATTTTTTGAACTGAAAAATTAAGGTTCTTGTAAAGTTCTGGTAAAAACATTGAATCAATGTCACTTGTGACAGTCATAAGGATGCAAGACAACTGAGCAAGGTCTGTGTTTCATTGTTTGGGCAGCATGCTGTAATGTGAAAACTAGTTTACACTTATTTAGGTGCACTTTAAAGAGACTTGAAACTATATTGGTTGGCTTATCTTGCAGTTACAGCTACATAATATGTACTGATTTAAGAAACATTTCTTCTAAATGTTTGGATCTCAGAAACTTTATCTGACAAAGAACCAGCTAGAGTTCTTTAGCACCAATCTAAATCCATTAAATCTGAGAATGCTTTGCTTTTTTTCCTACCCCAGAGAATTTGCACATATGGGTCTTGTTCAATCAAATTAATTGTTCTCTATAAACTGTTAAGATCTTCAATGGGAAAAAAAAAAAGTATGATAATGTTATCAGTGGTTATAAAAAGAGTTCCAAATACATATACCATATATCAGTTAAATAAAATTATATTTTTCTGTGAAATTTTTTTGTAGAGTAGACCCAGACTAGAAGTATTTTTTGTTTACATTTTTACTGTAAACTTTGATTTTACAGAAATTCATGTATCTTGGGTGAAGGTAGGTCAAGATATTCTGCAGAGGTTTTTGCTGCTGTAAAGGGAAGCTTTCATTTTTTGTTTCTTAAAAGAGCAGATGTGGGGCTGGGTAAGGTAGGAAAAATTTTAGATCCTAAGCTGTCAAGAGAAACATACCATGTAACTTGTGTTGGCAGCAGCAGTTCTTCTTCATCTTGGTTACAATTTTTTTACCAATAACTCAGCCTGACATAAAAAGGTTAAGGGCCCTAAACTGAACGGCTGCATTTATTTTGAATTAAAGGTAGGCTGTTTGTGTTCCTTGGAAGAAACTACTTGGAAAAGTACAGCTTAAGATTTGAAGAGAAAGGAACACTTAAATCCAATATGGTCCAGAGTCTGCATGAAGGAAACCTTGGTCAACTTTGTATTTATTAAAATAAACATGTAGCCTGTCATTTTAGTGTGTGGGGGGGGGGGGGAGGGGGGAACCAAACAAAACATATTTTAAAGGGGTTTTGAGGAGCTTTTCCCAGTTTAAAAACAAAACAAGTATTTTGAAACACCGATTTGTTAAGTTTCTTCTGGGGACAAATCAGCAGTAACAGTGTGATGTAAACTGTGTTTGTTTAAAAATAAACAGCTGTTCTTACATATCAAGGATTTTCTAGATGCTTTCTCCCCTTAAGCAGTGATGTCTGAAGTATTTATTAATTGTTGACTTTAAGTGCCAATGACATTTCTGGCTAAAGCGTTATTACCTTTTAGCTTTTCATTCAAATTTGGAAGAATCTGAGGCATGCCTCTCACTACCATGGAGCAATGAAATGACCTCAGTTGTCTCAGCTTGTGGAGAAACCCAGAAGGAATTCTTACCTCCTTTTGCCCCCAAAAAAGGAAGAAAAGAACCCCAGAACTGCAGTACTTCGAGGGCTCTGACATAAGCCAAGTTGATTCCATTTCTGTTATTAGGACTTTAACTGGATGCAATTTCCTATTTTTGTAAGCAAAATCTTTGCTTCATTTATTATTTGCATCATACCAGACAATGTGCCCCAGTTAAACAGTGCTTTCTTCTATTATTACTAATTCATTGTAAACCATTCCTTGCTCTATGTGATAATACAGGTTTATCTTAAGAAACAATTAAGAGTGCATTTTGAATATTACAATCTGTGCTCTCCAGCTCTGTGCTTTAAATGCAGTTTGGAATAGCAAATCCAGTTCTCTGCTGTTGGAAATAGCCAGCTAGCTTGTTCTCTTTCAAGCTTTGCATATGTTTTGAGTTCCCGTGGATATGTGATGCTTCAGGTAATGATCAAGGAAAATAAAACTGTGGGTCCCAGATAATGTGTTGCAGAAAGGGAACAAGAGACCTGGTGCAGGTTTTTTGGGTCTGTCCTTGGATGGTGTCTGTTTTCCCACTAGATGGCCCTGGTTTCTATCGGGTGCTGCTGAGCTGGTGTCAGAAAAGGTGCTCAGAACTTTGTAGTGCAGTACCTGAAAGGTTGCAAAGCCACCTCTGGTTTCCTGACGTAGGGGCACGCAAGGGTAATCACTGAGAAGTTTTTAGAAAGCTGTTAACCAGTGATGAATGAGCTCCCAAAGTGACCAGGGACTAGGAAGGGTGATCTTCTCCAACTAGGTTTCCTGGCATGTTAGTTTTCTACAGAAATCTTCAACCTTAGGAGAAGCAGCTCCTGAGATTTGACTTGATGTGAATTTAACTGTATGGCTGTAGTTGCATGTTTCCAAGTGAATGATGCCAGTACATTGATAAAATTTCTCTTTTACAGGACAGGTCTCCCCAGTGGGTGAGGCATCTGCATGAAATCAAGGATTGTTTTTGCTCTAAAGGTGCTGTTCGGCTTCTGGTTTTGGTCTTTAAAATTATAACTCCTATAAACTGAGTATTTTCTTATTTTTAGGTAAAAGGACCATCAGTGTCTAATCCAAACACAATGGTAGATATGTTCACCCCTTGCTCTCCAGGCGATCCTGAAGCCATAGAAATGACATGGATGGAGGTTCCAGGTGATAAATTACTGGAGCCTCAAGTTTCCATGGTATGTATTCTTTTGTAGCATTTCTTTCTTGCTTTACCTTAAAGTCTTTTCAGAGATCTGCAAAGACTCTTTTTCAAGTGGTTATTCAAGGAAATTGGATGAGTTTGTTTTCAGAAATGCTGGGCATACCAGATAGCATTTGACTTCCCAACATACAGTGATACAGTACAGTATGCTTGTGAAAAAGCCAGCACTCTATCCCTCATAAGCATTTCATTCTTATTGTCCATAGACAGCAGGTGGCTCTTCCACTGTTCTTTCACTTGTCTCTTATTTAGAATCTTCAGGATCCCTGCCCCATGATATGCTTTCTTCCTGTCACTCTGTAGCATTGATACTGGAAAATTATATTTAGTGTAAATTGGGAGGTGCTGTAAGTAAATATTGCCCATGAAATAAATAAAAGCATAAACAGTAAAATGAAGGAAGGTCATGAATGTAACGGTAGTTTTGGTTAAATTTCATCACAGGTGATACAACTCTTCCAGCTGTTTTCTTTGTGCATGTTAAAATATTTGCTTTGGTCAAGGAAATAAAATACATCATTTTAAGACAAATTGAAATTTTAGTTCACTGCTGAAAAAACAAATAATTGTTGGACATTCGTTCTGTACTTTTTTTTCCCCCTAAGAGCAGTAAAAGATTCTGAATTTAAGTACAGTGTTTGAGGGGAAGACTTGGTAACAAACCTGTGCTGCTGTCATTTCTTATATGCAAACAGTGCTGTAATGAATGAAAGAAATCATTGTATTTTATGAGGATCACAAACCTCTAAAACAGTAGTCACTGCTTTGTAAATATAACCGTCACTGTATTTCAGAAAATAAATTTCTGTGCGTATTTGCATACTGAGGAAGCACAGAAGGACATACGCAGGTTCAGGCCTGCCCTAAAGCTTCTGCCAGCATGGTCTAAGCAGATTTTTAATCGGTCTTTCCTGGGATTAACCATAACAATTCCCTGTGTGCTCCTAATGGTACCTGGCCTCTGATGCACTCTAGACGCATAGGTGGTTGTTTCAGTGTCCAAAATCGGTTCTTGTCCTTAAAAAGATCAGGCTTTAATTCTTTCTAAGCAGGATATCTCTCATCTGAGACAAACCTCAAGTCTAGAAAATCATGTTATTACCTTTTGGGTTAACCCATAATTTTATAGTAATATGAGATGTTAGGCATCTACTTTTTTCAGTTGCCTTTGGCTAGGACTTGAGTTTTCTTGCCCCTTCTTACCCACAGGGTATTCTAACTGCTGCTTTCAACTTCATAGACCTGCAATTTTTCTGAACTCCATTTTCTAGTATCTTAAATAGTTATCTAGGAAATTGACTGAATTGAAGAGACAGAAATTACAGGTCATGAACAGTAAAACTTTGCTAGAGATGAATCACAAACTACTGTTCTACATTGTTGGACTAGGAAGAGTACATGGGAAGATACAATTATTTTCCACTTTAAACTGCTGTAGGTAAAGATGGGTTGAAAATAGTAACTGATAATAAAAAAGGAAGTTCAGTTCTTTACTGAAAAGAGATGAATAAAACTAGAATGGATGAGTGGCTTAAACCTGAACTTGAGGTTGCGGTTTCTGTATTAGAAAACTCACTGACAGTTGTGTGTTCACAGAGTTAAAGTACTGCCTCCTTGCAGAAGTGTTTAGGCTTATTTAAAGTTTTGTGTACGGAGGAGCTCCTATGGTCGTCTTGGTTTAGTGGGCTTTTTAATGCATATCTGTCTTGACAACAAGATTGTTAGCAGTGGTGCTATACTTGTTTCTGAAAACACGTGTTTTTTTCCTGGCAGGACGATATGCTCAGGTCACTAGCTAGCACAAAACCAACAGTTAATGAACAGGACCTGGAGAAGTTAAAGAAGTTTACAGAAGACTTCGGTCAGGAAGGATAAACCAAAGATACATGTAGAGCATTAGAACTTTCTGCTTTCTTAAATATTCTTGTGTCTTTTATTGATGGCACTTCAAATAAATGCCAATAAAATCACTCCTTTCTTACTTTGCAGAAGGAATAGAAGATACCTTTGCAAAGACCCTTAGGCTTTTGTATTGTATTGTTTTCCTCAGATGTCTATTAAATGTCTTCTATTGAAAAATAATATGAAAATACAATTTTAGGGTGAGACAGCAAAGTCATGTGGTAACGTCTATTAAATACTAGAAGACTTTAAATTATTAGTTCAATTTTAGATATTATATTAGGCCTGGGTACAAGAGAGTTTTAAACTCCCAGTAGGCTCAAAAATCCCTTTTTTGAGGGGTGGAAGGGAACATATTTGTCAGGTGTTTTTCGTGTCAGACAGCCTAAATATTACTTGCTCTCGTTTCATTTAGAAAAATGCAACAAAATTTACTAATCAAGCATACTGCAAGTGTGGGTTTGCTATTAAAGTAAGAAAGAAAACACTGTGAGGATAAGACTACGTGAGCCAGTACTTTGTTTAGACAGAACTGGTATTTGGCTTTTTCTGCTACTCTGTGTTAAAATTTTGCCTTAAACAGCAAGCTTTTGTTTTTAACTCTTTACTAGCTGATATACACTGTCACTATGCAATTTAGCAAAAGTTTGTTAAATGCAAGTATCTCAGAAGGTTTTTTGCTGCCTGTTCTTGTTCGTTTTTTGGGTTGGTTTTTTGTTGTTTTTTGTGTTTTTTTTTTTTTTTTTAATCTGGATTTACTTTCTGCAGGAGTTTGACTAAAGTTAGAAAAAAGTATTAGTAATACCCTATATGATTCCACATGTCAAGGCTGGCAAGGTATAGATAGGTAGTCTTTGGAGAATGTACGGGAGGAATTTTGGGAAACAGCATACTTTCACATGCAAGGAGAGTCTGAGAGATGTTTTAGCCACAGACTTTCCAGTGATAAATTAACTCAGAACCCTACTGGTTACTATTGTGATAGGTTACATCAGTTTAGTGCTTCAACTTTGAGAGATGGTTGGCACTTCGGTACAGAAGTAGCATTTCCATTGATCTTTTTCTGAAGAACTACAAGTTGAGATGTGCCTGAATGTAACTTACAACACTACAGTGTGAGCATTGAGTTTGTGCCTTGTAAGTTTGCACTGGCTGTAGATACAAAACATCATTAGGACCCCTAGAATACTCTGTTCCATTGTCATTGTACAACTCTATCCTGCATATGCTTTGTTTAACTTGCATTAAAAGAAATTTGCACATTTTGTGTATGTTATATGTACACATACACATGATCATCTTTTGATGGGGTTTGGTTTCCTTTATGTACATATTTTGTGTACTTTATAATAATCATAGGATGGGTGAAATTTGCTGTACTTAAATGAAGTAAAATGTTATAGTACACCATCAGCTATGTTCTTTGAGTATTTCTTCAATATTATGTTCAAGTATTTACTGCTTGATTATTTTTTTTGTTAGACTTCGCTTTCTATGTTTTAACAGCTAAACATAACATTTAGTTAATTCTTTGATCTGGAAGGTGCTGAGCTTTTGTTTACTAACACGATGAAACATTCTTTCCAAAATGGTTCAGTTACACACAGCTTTACCTTTGTCTTACGTTGGAATGTGTAAATGTGAATCGGCGGGCTGCAAAACTTTTTGGGGGGGTTTGGGGGAGGGTGGTGGGCAGGAATTCCAGTGTAGGTGCAGGCAACTATGGTTAGTAAACTTAATCCTTGTAGCAACAGGATTGCTTTTTCGTAGTTGCCTGTTGTGAACGCTTTAGAAGTGAGCCACGTACTGCCTGGGCTCTCACTCAGATGTTTGAAGCTACTATCTGAAGTACTTGTCTCTTGACCTTTGTTAAAATGAGTCCTTACAGCAATCTTACAATTCTCAGGAACGTTTTTTTTTTCTTGTCGTAGACTGATTTGTCCTATGGGTTTCCATAAGCTTATCTTTAATGTAGAAGAAAAGTATACTGTATGTTTTAAATTTACATCTTGCTGCTTGCTCAGTTGTGGGATGACATCTGTAACAGAAGCATTAATGTTTGATGTTTCAAGTTGTTTTTAGAAATATATTCCAAATAAACATTGCTGCTTTTAATTGCAGCTATAAGGACAACTCTTTCATTTGCTGTCTTTGTAAAATGGGAATAAATGAATATATGTATCAGAGCTTCCTAGCTAAATTATCCCAGAATAGACGATAGCCAAATTGGGGGGGGGGGGGGGGGGGGGAGGGGCAGGAAAGCAGGCTGCAAAATAACCTTTTAGTTTTCAGTGTTAATTGGAAATACTCTAAATTGAAACATTTATGAAAGGTTATATTTGCTTTACATAATCAAAACCTCTGTAAATACTGGATAAATTAATTGTACATTTTTTTATAAGGTCTGATATATGACTCATCTTTGGCTGGCTAGCTTACAAATTTTTTCTCTTAACTTCTGGTGTTACTGCTTGCTCTGACTGCAATATGAAAAAAATGTCATTTTTCTTCCTGTGGGTAAAATAGTTTTTCAATTAAATCAGTTGTATATGTCCTTGTGGTGTCATTCACAGATGATTTCTTCACATTAAGATTTGGATGTGCTGACACATGTGGTATACATCTCAATGCATATACTCGTAGGGTTAGAAAAGCTCAGTAAATTAACTAATTAACTTGCTATATTTCTTTTCCCATGTTGCCTGACTGACCTCAAATTCCAGAATCTTGTTTCTTCCCGGATTTACCTGTCAGCTTTGTTTTGTCATTCCCTGGTACAACAAAAACATACAAATCTCCTGTAAATGTTTGGTTTGATTGGTTTTGGTTTTGCGATTATCTGTTGGGTTTTGAGTATGCTTTTTTTTTTTTAAAAAAAAAAAAAAAAATCAGTGGAGCAGAGCACATGTAGCTGAAGAAGATACTCCTGAATTGGCTTTTGTTCATGCTGTCTGTCTCTGATCAAAGTTTGCTCTTTTTGTCAGCTGAAGCAAAGAAGCTGCTGAATGTTTTCTGGTCAAGCATTCTGATCTGCTTTCGTGTTTATTTAGTCTTCTTCCTAATAACAATATATTCTGATTTTTTTTTTTCTTGTTATTTGTGAGGATTATCTTGACAGGAAGCTTTCTATTAGTTCTGAATTCATTGAAATATGCAGGAACATCTTTATTTTGCTTGTTTACTCTTTGCTTCCTCCAGAATGACAAGCTTGTTTCATGATTAGCTTCCATACGTGTTTTTGGTCTTAACCAGATTCATCCTAGTAATCATGGTTGACTTAAAACCATTCCTGTAACTTACGTAAACTATTGCAAGAACTTGGTGGACTGTTTGTTTCCTGTTATGCTGTTAAGTATCTGCTTTTCCAACAGATACTTAATTCTTATCAAAACATTGTTCCTTCTGTTCTTGAGCAGGTAGCTTTTGTTGTAGCTCTTGTGGCAGAGCTCCAGTGCTTTCCCCTTCGCTTTTTCTTTAGCTTTTTATTAACAATATTTCAATCTAGTGATTTTATTCCACAAATCCTCTGTCATCATAATTAGCTATATAAAAACTTAATTGTTCCACAAATCCTCTGTCCTGGCATTTGTGTACTGACAGCCCAGGTATTAGATAAGCTTGTCCTGTTATTTGTCTCTTGGTCCCTGTGACCTAATTACGATTCTTCCCCTCCCTCCCTACCTCTACATACACACAAACACACCCTTCTGAGGGCAGCTTTTTGACTAGGTCAGTGTTTTGTGCCATTTTCTGTTTATTCACCTTTGCATCCTTTATCCTGTCTAAGAGGCTCCAACTTGATGAATGGATGCTCAAGAATACCTCTTCCCTTCATCACATCAACTCAGTGTTTGGGGACACTGGAGTCCATCTGTCCGTACCATCTGTGCATGGTACCTGCCACGTGTACAATCTGCTAGTCTTTTGCAGAAATACTTGACATTTTAGGGCTCGTTTATTTGAGCCATTAGTGATGAAAACAGAATACAAGGTCCTATCTGCATCATAGCAGGAGCTCAGTTTTCTTCTAAAAAGGGTTTGGTCATGTTTTGAGACATCTCCAGGAAATAAGTCACTGACACCTGAGCACAGCCCTGATGTTGATAATGAAGCCAGGGTTTTCTTTCCTGCTTGGCGACCTATTACCAGGCACCATGCCATGAATTGGCAAGACTTGCTTTTGCTTGCCCTCCCTCCTCCTCTGCTGCCTCAGCTAATTTAAGCTATTCAAGGCAGGGACTTTGCTTTCAAACATGCTTAATGTCACATGCATTCTGTAAACTATAAACAGTAATTTCCTCTGACTCACTCTGTTGTTGACCGATGACTGTCCGTGGGTAATTTGTTACAAAAATCTCAGCTGGAGTAGTTGCCTTCTGCTACTGCTCTGTCCGTGTCTCAGCAATAGAGTCAGCTAGGCAAGGGACTGAGAAAGTTGCTATAAATATCACCATCTCGTACAGGAAATATAATGACAAATGAGGACTGTTACAGTGTGAGTCGGGCTCTGAAGGAGTCAAGTGAATCATTTGCCCAATAGAAAGCTAGGAAAAAATGAAAATTAAAACTGTATGAATTCAAATGATCATTTCTCCTTCCTCCCCTTCTTGAAGGCTTGGAGCGTGGGCCATAGCCAGGAGGCTCTGACCTGTGAAGGCTTTTCTTTAGGTAAGATTTTAGAAAATCTGCAGAAGTAGTTTACTGTTTTCAAATATGCCATCACAAAGATAATCAGGGGGCTGGGGCACCTCTCTTATGAAGACAGCCTGGAGAAGAGAAGGCTCCAGGGAGACCTTAGAGCAGCCTTCCAGTGCCTAAAGGGGGCCTGCAGGAAAGGTGGGCAGGGACTCTTTATCAGGGAGGGATAAGATGAGGGGTAACGGTTTTAAACAGAAAGAGGGTAGATTTAGATTAGATCTAAGGCAGAAATTCTTCCCTGTGCGAGGGGTGAGGCGCTGGCCCAGGGTGCCCAGGGAAGCTGTGGCTGCCCCCTCCCTGGAAGGGTTCAAGGCCAGGTTGGATGGGGCTGGGAGCACCCTGGGCTGGGGGAAGGGGGCCCTGCCCGGGGCAGGCAGGTGGAACTAGATGATCTATAAGGTCCCTTCCAACCCAAACCATTCTGTGATTCAAAATACCAGTTGAAATGCTCATGTTCTTGCCCAGCTGAGCCTGAGCTCACTTGGAGTTTTAATTATGTTTTAATGAATTAATCACAGCCATTAATTGCTCTGTACACAACTGAACAGCAAAGCAATTACTGTTTTTTTTTTCTAATCCTTCCACCTGCTCTTGTTTTGATATGGACTTGTGTGTTCATGTCCAGCCTTGTTCTGTCTCTGTGATTTGAAAATGTTTTTTGGTCTGTTTTTACCTGCTTGAAAACCTTATGCTCATGATGCACATGTCCACTGTCAGTATGGACACAAGCAGGTGTTTTGCCTGCCTGAGAGCAAACCTTGTGTAGTTGCAGCATGGCAACAGTTTCCCCAGGAGCTACCGGGCCTGTTGACAGAGCCTAAAATCTTCCATCTGCCCTTCATCTTCACTATCCCTTCACCAGCTGCAGGACAGCCCATCTATACAGATGCTGTCATTGCCTAAATGCTCACAGAGAGCTGTGATACACATGCGGATCCATGTACACGAATACTGGTTACAAAAACCCCCAAAAGGTGCGTGTACCTGTGTGATGACCCACCAAACACACAACAGGTAGTCACTGCAAAGTTACCTTTATCCAGCACTTGTGACACTGCCACGTGCCTGCTTGGTCCAGGTTTAGATGGGCTCGGCCCTGCAGGGAATGAACATGTTGGAGCATTTGTGGGGTTTTTTGGGGGGGTGAGGGCCATGGTGGTGGTGGTCTTCCTGGGCAGTCTGAGGTAAATGCATCTACAGCCACGTGCGGGGTGAGAGACGCTGGTCTGCGCCCCAGACCTGTAGCTGCCACAGGGTGGGAATCAACTGGTGAACAAGGACAGTGATGCGGATGGTCTGGGCTCCAGTGGCATTTTGTCCTGTTTTTTGTCCTTGTTGTCAGCTGTGTGAAATGGTTTCCACAAGCTTTGCGGCTATTGGGCTTATCCTCTTGGGCCTTCTTCTTTGTAAAGCATGCTCGCTTCATCACAGTAGACACTGGAAATGCATGATGCTTCTTAAGAAAAAGGTCTTGATCAGAATTTTCCTTTTGATGTGAAATGTTAATTGGCAATCTATGCCTGACTCATTCCTGTTGCTTTTGAGTAGTATTCTCTCTTTTGCTGTTCTAATGTCAGTTTCTTTCTTTTTTTTGACTGACATACCCTCTGTCCTTCACACCGTTTATTTTTTTTTTTTCCTCAAATGTAAGATAAGGCATAGATTCCTTTTTAAATCCTATTTCAAAGCTCTTTATGTTCCTGTATTTGTCCAGTGTTTATACCAAAGCAAGCTGATACGCAGCAAAGCAAAAGCTGACAAAGTGTCTCCAATTTCCCTTTTTCCCTTCAAAGCAACAGGGCCCATCTGTACATGCTGTCCTTTCCCTGGCTGACAGCAGGATGGCAACGGGCCGCACTGTTAGAGGATGGAGACAGACTTGAAGGAGCACAAGCAACTCTGATGTATTTGATAGCGATGCAAGGGGGATGAGGGTGGGGAAGGGTTGAATTGCTTGTCTTCAGCAAGCTATTTTGTACTCGTTTTTTGGGTTGGAGAACTGAGTTACGTCCAAGGGATCTTCTAAATTTCCATTGCATAACAGAGTCTTCTCTGCAGTTCATGCCAAAGATAACTTATCGTTGACTGATAACAAAGGCAGATGTTGTGTAATTGCATCCAAGAAATAAACAGCAGCCTCTCGCCAGTGCCATGTATATCCAGTGTGTTACCTGGAACTGGAAATGGGCTTAATTTGTTAAAAGATTGAGCAAAGTTCTCTGAATTGCTTTGAAAGAGGATCTGGCATGAACCTGAAGGAGGTAACTTCAGTTCTTCCAGTATTTTTAGGAGTGCAGCTACAAAGCAAAGAGCAATGGCAGAGTATGAAGCGCTCTCACACAGCAACCTGGGGTAGGTCAAACAGCTCTAGAAACGTGAAACATTGTTGATGAGAGGCATGAAGAAGATCTAGAGAGCAACATGGTAGCTTTACA